GTGTCTGCAGGAGTCCACCTGTGTTACTGAAGGGTGGCGCGTCATGAGCTGAGATGGGGAAGTGCAGCTCCTGTGGAACTCCCAGGGGCAGCTGGAGGTGCAAATCTGGGGTCAGGGGAAGTCAGGTCTGAAGTTGTCCCTTTGGAGCTGCCATGTCCTGGTCCTGGTGGGAAGAACATTGAGCTCATACTTGGAGTAGTAAAAACGGAGGGTGGTCATCTGGGTCATGAGAGACGAGGACTGAGAACAGACCCTGCTGTGTAGCCACATTCTCTGATAGGACAGAATTAAGGTTGTCAGTAGCTTTATTTTTTATTTTTATTTTTTTTGGCCAGGGCTGGGCTTGAACCCACCAACTCCGGTATATGGGACTGGCGCCCCACCCTTTTGAGCCACAGGCACCACCCCTAGGGTTTTTTTTTCTTCCTTTCTTGAGGCAGTGTGCCGTGGCATCACAGCTCACAGCAACCTCAAACTCTTGGGCCGAAGCGATTCTGTTGCCTCAGCCTCTCAAGTAGCTGGGACCACAGGTGCCTGTCACAATGCCCAGCTATTTTTTTGGTTGCAGTTGTCATTGTTGTTTGGCAGGCCTGGGCTGGATTCGAACCTGCCAGCTCTGGTGCATGTTGCTGGCGCCCTAGTCCGCTGAGCTACAGGTGCTGAGCCAAGTGGCGCCAAGCCGAGTAGCTCTAGTTTTTAATTTAAAAAAGCTAAATGTATTGATTGTGTGAATAAGTATCAACTAACTACTTGGTTTTTTTTTTTTTTTTTTTTTTTTTTGAGACAGAGCCTCAAGCTGTCCCCCTGGGTAGAGTGCTGTGGCATTACAGCTCACAGCAACCTCCAACTCCTGGGCTCAAGGGAGTCTCCTGCCTCAGCCTCCCAAGTAGCTGGGACCACAGGCACCCGCCACAACACCTGGCTATTTTTTTTTTGGTTGTAGCTGTCATTGTTGTTTGGTGGGCCCGGGCTGGATTCAAACCTACCACCTAGGTGTATGTGGCTGGCACCTTAGCCACTTGAGCCACAGGCACAGAGGCTCAACTAACTACTTGTAAGACCTCCTGCAACATTTGCTTTTGATAATTTTGTATAAACAATTATTTGGAGTTTAAGTTGATATCAAGTTTCTATTTGGTATTATTGAATCTTAAAAAGATGGGGTTCCGTATAAAATTACAGTTGTGGAGTAGTTACTAGTACTTGGGGGAGGTGTCATACTCATGGCTGTGTACAGATCGAACTTCTTGAATAGTACCTCAGTGGGCTTGTTAAATAAGTGGTTAAGAACTGGTGTAACCAGGTGAACTCTTACATGGATCTGGTGTTGTATAAAAGAGTAGTAGGCTGGGGTGGCGCCTGTGGCTCATAGGAGTGGGGCACCAGCCTCATATACTGGAGGTGGCAGGTTCAAACCTGGCCCCAGTCAAAAACTGCAAAAAACAAACAAAAAAACATTAGTAGGCTGTTGGTGGAGATGGGAATTTGAGGAGTTTGAATCTGCAGCATTTGGGACGTCCTGGTATCTGCCTGTGAGAAAAATGAGGCTGGGCATTTATTGGTGGCAGAGAAACCCCCATAGTAGCCAGGTCCCACCATATCTGATTTGGTATTATGGTTTTGGCAGTGTTGGACTTTTGTCACAACTCACCCTTTTGCAAGTTATTCACTGATACTACCAAACCATGTCACCTCCAGTGTCTGCACATTAGATCTCAGCTGCTTGGGCGGCGCCTGTGGCTCAAAAGGGTAGGGTACCAGTCCCATATGCCAGAGGTGGCGGGTTCAAACCCAGCCCCAGCCAAAAAAAAAAAAGATCTCAGCTGCTAGGTGACTCCAGCTCAGTCAGGGTCTCTTGTGATTTCTTTCAGGAGAAATCCTCTCCGTGGAGAAATTTTCTGTCATTGGTCTGCTTTTTCCCCAGGACAGTGGCTCCCAGGTTGGAGCTGGGTGTGTAGAGGGAGCATGTAGCCCCTGCTCCACCTTCAGCAGAGGGCTGCTGGATGCCTCCCACTCTCTCGTGAGAGGGTGTCAGGGGATCTTCTATGTTGAAATCTCATGTTGAGCATTTTCTTTGCCATTTTTAATTTTATGAAACTGGATTATTTTTGAGAAATGTGCATAGATATATCATATTAGGATTTCATTGTTTTATTATTTTAGTTATTTGGGAATAGAAACTCCATTTTCTTGTTTTGCTGTGCAACTGATAATTGTATATCCAGATGTATTTTCATCTATCTTTAGCACCCCAGATTGCCCTTCATACCCCTTGTAGGTCTCACTCATCCCTAAAGGTAACTGCTGTTCTGACTTCTATTGTTATATATTCATTTTGCCTATCCTTGACCTCTATAACTGGAAATATTCCATAAATGCTATTTTGCATCTGGTACAAATGGCCTCTTAACAAAATGATTTTGCATCTGGTACAAATGGCCTCTTAACAAAATGTATGTCTGTTGTATGAAGTTAATGCATTTACATTTGGAACATATTTTTGGGAATGAATTCAGTGTGAAATCAGGGACTGCCTGCGTGATCATTCACACATGGAGATAAGTCATTGCAGTCTGGTATTGTTTCTGTTTTTAACAAACTAAGTCGATGGAGTTGGGATTTTAGAGTAAAACTGATGTGGAAGTCTGAAGGACCAGCATTGCGTTTTATTTGCAGGTTGAATTGCTAATAAAATCTGACCTATAACAGCCCTTGTAAGTAGGAAAGGCAGGAGCAAGCAGCCTAAGCTGTCTGCCCTGCACCAGGTCTCGGTGTCCATGTTGACCCAGATAACCATGGTGAGCAGTCAAGGGAGTCCTGCCTCTGCTGTGCCTGGTGTGATTTCAGATGAGTAGGCCACCAAGAGTGCCCAGGGTTAGCCAGAGGAGGTTTGGATAGAGGCCAGGCTTCACAGAATTTTTATTGCAAAGTTGGAAGAAATCGGAGTACTGTGTCAGGGGATTTAATGAGTTGGTGGGTTTCACTGTGTTAAAAGTTTTGGCATGGCAGTTTTGAGAATTCATGGTTTTCTTTTTGTGTGTGTGAAAGACCCCTGGCTAGAATGCCATGGTGTTATAGTTCACAGCAACCTCACACTATTGGGCTCAAGTGATCCCCTTGCCTCAGCCTCCCGAGTAGCTCAGAGTATAGGCACCACCACCATGTCCAGCTAGTTTTTCTTCTCTTTTTTTTTTTTGAGACAGAGTGTCAAGCTGAGTGCTGCGGTGTCATAGCTCACAGCAACCTCCAACTCTTGGGCTCAAGCAGTCCTCTTGCCTCAGTCTCTCAGAGTGTTAGGATTGTAAGGCACGCTGGCTAGTTTTTCTATTTTTCATAGAGATGGGAGTCTCGCTCTTGGTCAGGCAAGTTTCGAACTCCTGAGCTCAGGCAATCCACCTGCCTGGCTTCCCAGAGTGCTGGGATTACAGGCGTGAGCCACTTCACCCAACCCAGGATTGTTTTCAGTTCTTAAAATGTATTTTTGGATGAGATTGAAACCACTGTTTAAGGAATCCCTTTAGCACCAGGAACCCCGGAGTGCAGCATGGGCATGGGTAAGACCTGAGAGGTCTTTGACTGGCTGTGTGGGCTGGTGGCTAATGCCTGGTAAATTTGGGAGACTCTGGGGTTGCTGCTGTGTGTTTAAAACAAGAGTAAAGATCCCCATCATCCCAGCTGTATCAGGACATTGTGATGCCAAGCCAGGAGGAACAGCAGGAGTCCAGGTCCTCTTGGGTGGTGGCCTCTTCCCTCTTTCATCACTGGAAAAGAAAAAAAAAAGATGATTTTTGTGGTTCTTTTGTGTTTGAAGGAGTAAAAAATTGATGCATTAATAAAATGGACTTAATATACCACAGAAGATGTGGCCATTTACCAAAAAGTGTTTCTTCAGCAATCTTCTGCTGTGTTTGGGAGGAGTGTTGACATGAAGAGAGTAAAACCTCATCTGAGAGATTTCATGGGACACTAGTCTGATATTTTTTAAACAGAGAATGATCACCCTAAAGCCTCCTATCTCACTCAGGGATCTTCATTTCTTTTATCTTCTTGCCCCATCTGTATATATAACAGGACCATAGTCACAGAGGGGTACGTATTTTTTGTTTTTGTTTTTTTT